TTAAATGCATTCATGTCCCTTTGCGTAGGAAATTCATCGCATGCAGCTTCTGTGTTTCCTCTGCATTGCAAAGATGAATTTTGATACTGATATCATTTGTTTAGTAACAGCCCAAATGTCTTTTATTCTAATTGACTGATTCAATATAAGAATTTGACTCAAAAGATGATGCACACTATGTACAAGTACGTAAAGGATTATGTCATGCTTGAGCTTTAGTCAGGCTGAAACTTGAAAGTTAAGTTGCACGACATAAATGCAATGCTTAGGTATTATTATTATTATTATTGTGAAATTGATTTTTGTATTTTTATTTATTTTTTTTTTTTATTGATATATTTGTATTTGCATTTTGAATGTAATTTGGCAATTAAATACATTAAATGGGTTTAGTTTTCACGGTTATTAATGTATGCAATTTCAGCAATAAAAATTTTAATTTTTCTAAAAAGAAAACAAATTAGTTGTTTATTTTAAGAGATCTATCTTATTATCTCTTGTATATTTAGTATTGCTCTTTAATAAAGAAAAATGACTTCTTATCCGATTACTCGATTAATCGATGGAATAATCTGTAGAATACTTGATTACTACAATAATCGATAGCTACAGCCCTACTACAAACATTTCACAAGACATTAATTGATGTAATGAAGTTGTGCTTTGGATTATTGTGATGTTTTTATCCGCTGTTTGGACTCTCATTCTGACGGCATCCATTCACAGCAGAGGATCCATTGGTGAGCAAATTTCTCCAAATCTGTTCTGTTGAAGAAACAAACTCATCTACATCTTGAATGGCCTGAGGATGAGTACATTTTCAGCAAACTTTCATTTTTGGGTGAACTATTCCTTTAAATGCAGTCTAAGAAGGCAGCTCACTAGGTTTTTGAACAGAGCTAATGATTCCCTAAAATGAGCTAAGAGGTTCAGTAAGCTCAGCCTTTAACAAGCTACAGCATGGGCTGCGTGTCACCCCATTACTTTGGTTAAGTGTGTGTGTGATCAAAAATTAACTGTTTCAAAAGCCTGTTATCTGCTTTATATCTGGCAGGTTTAACCAAAGTCAGGGAAGTGTGACGAGATGTGACTACAAACTAAATGGAGGTCACATTCCCAATCCACCCCAACAATCACAAAAGCAGTCAATATTCAGCAAATTAGGACACCACTTTTGTACCTCTCTGGGGACTCTATGTTTCCAGTTCTTGGCTGTTAACCCTCTATTGCACAATTTTGCCTCAGGGTAACCCTTTTCCATCACTTTTCAAACACAAAAGATGTCAATGAAGGGTTGTTCATGAAGGGATGACTTAAAAAAATAAAAAATAGATAAAAAATTATTTTTGGTAACACTACATCCTTGTGCCGATTTTAAAATATTTTTCTGGTCAAGGACGCACATTATCACTCTGCCTCAAAAAAGCCTTTTGTCACCTATAAAAAATTAAGATTCATATTTATTAGTGAATAAAATTCACTTTAAAAGAGTCAGTCATATAAATTATATGTCAGTCATATAAATTAAATTGTTTTTTACTATTCAAAAGTTCTCACCTAAGGCAAAATAACTGTTTTCTATTGTAATATATTTTAAAATGTAATTTATTCCTGTGATGGCAAAGCTGAATTTTCAGCATCATTACTACAGTCATCAGGGTCACATGATCCTTCAGAAATCATTCTAATATGCTATGTAGAAACATTTCATAATTATATAAAAAAAAGTATTATATATACATAAAAGTATTATTTTTTTACTGACCCAAAACTTTTGAACAGTAGTGTCTTTTTGTGTTAACTATAAAATACTTTTTTATTTTTATTTTTTTAGAATTTACAGAACATCAAAGTGAAATTGATATAGTGTATACTAAGAAACCAGTTCTAATAGTTTATGTAATAACTGTTTGTTTTATTTTAGTTCTATTTTTTAATACTTTTTGTTTTATTTTTATGAATTTATTTATTTCCATTACCACATAGTGTTGCTTCCGATTTATTTTTATTTATTTTTTTATTTTAGTTATGAAGTCCAATTTTTATTTTTATAGAAAATTGAATCAGTCATGTTTAACATTGCTTTCATAACGAATGCAATAGAAGGTTAAAATAAAAGGCATGTGTGTTTTTTGTTTTTTTTGCTAACTTATTTCAGGTGACTATAACTTTAAAATGACCAATAAAGAATTTGGAGGGACTGAGGGATGAATAGGACTGACCGTAGTGACACTAAGCAAGCAATGACCCTTCAGGACGGCACATGAGAGAACACTGAGGAACTGATTTTGGAAAACTGTTTGTTAGTACTGCACTAACAGAGCAACACAGCGCTGTTTTAATGCTGAATTCATTGTTTTCTCGTTAATGAAAGCTTGGGCATGGAGTAAATCATTCTGAGGCCTGTGCACAACCAGCTGCTTTGCAGAGCATGTTGTCAATCAATAGAGCTTCAGCAATCAATGCAGCAAATTGGCGGCAGAATCTCGAGGTTACCTGAGGGACCAGTTCTCTTGGGTTTGTGGGAAAAGTGTTCACCTGGATTTGGTGGAGGCGCCACATCTTGGCCCTGCCTAGCTTGAATGGGATCATACTCTTTTCCGTCATAATTGGCATCAAATAATTTTTTAAACCACTGGATGAATTCAAAGTTGTCCTGGAATTTTCCTTTCACTAATTTTTCCACAGGAATTATCTGGATAACAAAAGGAAAACAAATCATCAGTTCAATACTGAGCTGTAATCTTGAGGTGTAATTTTTTTTATGTTAAAGGGGTCATATGATGCGATTTCAATTTTTCCTTTCTCTTCGAAGTGTTACAAGCTCTTGGTGCATAAAGAAGATCTGTAAAGTTGCAAAGACTAAAGTCTCAAATCCAAAGAGATATTCTTTATAAAAGTTGAGTCAGCCACACCTACCTAAAACGCCTCGTTCTAACACGCCCCCACATGTCTACGTCACGATGTGGGAAGATTTGCATAATGC